ATAATAGTTAATTGGTTGTGATCATGGGTCCTTGTTTTTTTCGTTTTCTTCTAGGAACCAATTACGGGATTTGTCCACTACTCCACTCCAAGTGTCCGTAGTGGCGAAAATTCTCAGTTTTATCGACGCCAGCCACCCTTTGGTATTTGTTCGATGAATTATTTTAATTGTACATCAAGTATTGTACATAAGGGTCTACACCCCCTCACATGAGGGGTGGGACCCATTGAAATAATACTTTTTTGTTCGAGCGGGTCTCACCCTCCTTGTGAGAGGGGTGTAGACCCTTATGTATGGGGTGATGTACCCCTAGCAATGCTCTTGTTCGATTGAGCAACACCAAGAAAAATCTATTTACTGTTAGATTAATCATTAATGTATTCCAAATGTGCATCAAATCACAAACTGTTATATATATGTCACGAAAAAATCTATCGATAATTTTCATTGCGAATAACATTATTTTTATTATTATTTCATAGGAACTAAGAGAAATGACCAGTAATAAACGATGATAGTTATTTATTTATTCAAGCTGTACAATTTCAGGTTATCAACTAAAAATAAATGTAATGATTATTATTTATTGATTGTCCTGTCATCTATTTCTATAATTGGAGAAAGTTGTCTTAGTTGAAATCAAATAAAAATGGAGCTATCCAATAAAAATATAGTTACCCGATTAAAAATGTTGAAATGCATTTACTTGATTGATGCATATTCCTTATTTGATTTGGATAAAAATTAAATTTTATGGAATATATGGTTCAAAAATTGTGGATCTCATAAAATATTTTGTTAAAATTAATAGTTAACTTTGATTTAAATTTTAATTTATTTTGTAGCTGAAGCAAACATAGGCTAAATATATTATATAGGGAAAATTGCAATTACGGCACCAAATCTTTCATTTGGTAGTAAACTTTATCCAAATATTTCATTTGTGTCATCATATGTACCAAACCTTTAAAAAAATCGCAACTCAAATCCAAATTAACGGATTCCGTTAGTTTTGATTTTGGGTAGTGAGGGAATTGGGGAAGAAGGAGATGGGGGTGGGTTGTGATTTTGTTTTTT